GCCCCTTCACTGTACGACTGCTGAGGTCCACTCCAGGCCCTGCTTGCCTGGGGTGCACCTATAGCAGCTGCGGAACAGTAAGGGATGCTACCAGTTTCTTTTTCTGCTATCTTTGTCCCAGAATGATGCCTGCCAAATGTCAGTCTTTTGGATACAGAGGCGCCAGGGAGCTGCTTGAGGAGACAGTCTGTACTTAATAGGAGCTCAAGTGCTGAGGTGTGAGCTCTGTTGTTCATTCAGGGCTGTTAGGCTGCTATGTTTAATTCTGCTGCAACCTAACTCATAAAAAAACCTTTTTTTTCTCAGATGCTCTGTCTGGCAGGGATTGGGGCTTTCCTTGTGAGTGTCCGCCGTGCTGTCCTGCCCAGCTAGGAGGCAGTCTAGTCACTATTTGCGTGCCAAGGCTCCGCCCTGCTGGTGTGAGGTTCGCCGTGTTGCTGCAGGCTCCGCCCTTCTGCCACAGGATACGCCCTGCGGCGGAGTCTCTCTGTTGTAGCGGGTTGCCTCGGCAATGGCAGGCTGCGTCAGCAATGGGTGTGTACCTCAGTAGGGAAGGTTTGCCTCAGTAATGGCGGACGCCCCTCCCCCACGGAGCTGCGGCCTCAGGGAACCCCTCCACGGGGAGCGTTTGGAATCGCCGTTTTGTTTGTCCCACTGCGCTACCCCAAACGCTGTCACCCTGGAATCTCCTGGGCTAGTTCAGTCTCAAGTTCAGCCCTCCCAAGTCTCAGGTTGCCGGCCCAACAGGGCACCCAGACGAGCGCGCTTTGTGTGGAGCGCTGTGTAGTGCCGCCACAGTGCGGGCCGCCGCTGCACTGGCCGCTGGCTGCGCCAGCCAAAACCTCTGCCTGGCGTCCCGCATCTCCTCTATACCTAGGAATTTCCCCATTCTGTGGGCAACAAATATCCGTCTGGAAATGCGGCCCTGACTCACCCCCTCCGCGCACTGACCGTGAGCTTCAATCCTGGATTGTTCTCATAGCGCCATCTTGAGTCCTCTCGTAAAGCTTTTTTTTTTTTTTTGAGATGGAGTCTCACTCTGTCGCCAGGCTGGAATGGAATGGCGCAATCTTGGCTCACTGCAACCTCTGTTTCCTGGCTTCAAGTGATTCTCCTGCCTCAGCCTCCTGTGTAGCTGGGACTACATGCGCACACCACCATGCCCAGCTAATTTTTGTATTTTTAGTAAAGACAGGATTTCACCATGTTGGCCAGGATGTTTTCAATCTCTTGACCTTGTGATCCACCTGCCTCAGCCTCCCAGTGTGCTGGGATTATAGGCGTGAGCCACTTCACCGGGCCCGTAAAGTACTTTCTAGAGATGTGAGTCTCAATCACAGTTAAGCCTCTGAATCACTGGTGAGGTTTTTCAAAAGCACAGATGTTCTAGTCCCACACTCCAGACACACAGAGGCAGAATCTCCAAGGACGGACAGAACCCAGGCATGTGTGCATTTATCAGCTTCCCAGGAGGCTTGACCACCTCTCCCTACTTAAGGACACCTGCAGCCCCTCAGGCTCCCTGCCTCCAGTTCTCTCCTTATGGCTATCAGAGTCATTCAAGTTCAAATTTGATGATGTCAATCACTGAGCTAAAATTCCTCAATAGGTCCTCATGCTCTAACCTAGAGCATTAGTTTTCTATGAGGGATGTAAATCAGAATAGCCAGAGTAGGCTAAAAAGATGCTTGTGGGCAGGTCCTACCCCAGCAGTTCTAGTTCTACTGGGACTGAGAGTTTGTGTATGGAATCAATGCTGCACAGCAGAAAACACTCCTTAACTTCCTTTTATTTTTCAGTCCATTTCTTTCCCATCAGCATCTTATAGGAAAAAGTGATTGGTCTAGGCTAGATTTATGTGTCCCTGGGTCTCTGTGCAAAAACATATCTTAATCATACCTCAATATCCTTTTAAAAAGTTTAAAAGCTTTTCAAAAGACGATTTGTATGTGGTTCTAAATTTCGCTGTGGACATTAATTATACACTGATTTTCTTGGTATGTCTGTGCTGACTTTTAAGGATTTAGGGACAATATAACCCTATTTTCAACAGTGAAATATCACAAAAACAAAAACAGAACTTGCTGTCTTTGACTTTTCTTCTCGATCATGCTGCTGGGTTTGGAAGGATATACTGATGATGATGGCATCTAGGTTTTCAGTTGCATCCTGACAACAGTCTGGATGGCACCAAATGCCGAGGTTCCCCAGTTCTACTGCATGTCATGTCCAAGCAGGAATGGGCAGACGCTGTCAACTCTCATGCTAACTAACTAATGTCTGAAATACACAGTCAATTCTAATATTCATGGTAATTGCAGAGTTGCCATGAACACCAAATCAGCAACCACTGAACTATTGTCCCTAGGAAAAATATGAGTTAGGTTCCTGTGATCCTCTGATCATGAGATTCTCATCAACTAAAATGTCACTTGCATTATATAGACTCATCCACCAATGTCTCTATAAAACAAGCCAGGCTCATCAACCATGGAAACCCACTCTTCCCATTTCTCTCTTTCTGAATAACATTAAGCAAGTATTTTAAATTCTTCTTCAGCCTCCTGATCTGCAGAGCCTGACTTGCCTGCAAAGTTAACCTTTCTCACACCTTATGCCCTTTTGAAACTTGGGAGCCAACCAGCACTAGCCGAGAAGGGGTTAACATTTTCCTGCCCCTGGGTGATGTGAATATACATTGCTTTGGTTTTCAGCCTCACAACAATATTGCCCACTGCTTTTTAGAACTGGATGTCATCTCACAAATCCATGAATTTAGCACATAGTTTTAACAGGTCTCAGGGCAGCCTTTTATACATATTGTCAAACTTCCTCTCCTCTTCTCTGATGCACTGTATTGAGTTTTTTGTTTGGTTTGTTTTTTAGAGATAGAGTCTTGCTCTATTGCCCAGTCTGGAGTGCAGTGGCACAATCTTGGTTCACTGTGGCCCTGGCCTCTCGGGCTCAAGGGATCCTTCCATCTCAGCCTCCAGAGTAGCCAGGACTATAGGCATGTACCACCATACCTGGCTAGTTTTTAAATCACTATTTTGTCAAGACAGAGTCTCATTATGTTGCCCAGGCTGGTCTAAACTCCTGGGCTCAAGCAATCCTCCCACCTCAGTCTCCCAAAGCACTGAGATTACAGGGATGAGGTCACTGGACTTGGCCTCATGTGCTGTATTGTTGATTCAATAATGCTGAACTCATGCTCAACAGGACAAGAGCTCATGTCTGCATGAAGCTTCCCTAACACAGGTGTTTTCTCTGTAGGTACATCTCAACCTTGCTGTGCTTGGGGGCAGTGGACAGCACTGCAGCATGCACTCAGGGCCATTTTAAACAGCAAAGTTACCAAAAACAAAAAAAAGCACAGAAAATGTTTAAAAGCAAGGTATTAAATAGACTGTAAAAAAGACACATGTACAGTATGAGAAGGCCAAGTGTCTCAGTCTGACCTCAGTTGAAAACATAAGCAGTGAATGACACGTTTTTGCTTCTCTGTGCATGTCTGAAAATGATGGTGGAAGTGCTCTGTGTATTGGTTTTGGGGTTAAAATACATTTTAGCAAGCAAGTGAATTCACAAATGTGAAATCTCTGAATAAGGAGGATCAACTACATGGGATAGGGAACTTCTCAGGCAACTGACCAAGCCAATCTTAGTAATGGCAGGTGTGACAATGGTTTGTGCATTAAATCTTTCGTTACAAAAGAAAATACATTAGATGTGATAATTTGACAAGGCTTATTTGGACCAAAAAGGTAATATTTAACTAGTCGCTTTTAAAATTTTATTTCCCAATTCAAAGCAAACAATGAGTTCATAAATAAGTCATATGCTGATGCCTCTTCAGCAACTAAGTGTCTGACATCTATAAGTTACTTGACATCCTACCTCCAATGGGACACATGCAGGAATTGTTTTCTCCCTTAGATCAAGTGTACACATTTCTGACACCTATCATCCATCTCTATCAGATCCAAGAGAGAACACAGTGTCAATACTTGATGACTGGCAAACAATTTCTTCTGAATAACTTTCTCCTACCCCGCAGAATATCCTTAGGAAGGGTTCCTGTGAACTCTCAGACACAGCTGAAAGTGTCCTAATATGTGGCCTCCAAGCTGATCAGGCTGCCTAGAGACAGCAGCAACAGCATGGCTTACACACAGCACATCCAGCACAGCCAAAAAACATTTGCAGCTGGGTATATTGTCCAGCTCACACCTGGTAATCCCAGTGGTTTGAGAGGCCAGGAGGATCACTTGAGCCCAGGAGTTTGAGGCTGTAGTGAGCTATGATTGCTGCAGTGAGCTACAGCTGCATCACTGCACTCCAGCCTGAGTGATAGAGTGAGATCTCTAAAAAAACAAAATGAAAAGAATTTGCTATTTTTCACCACCATTGCTGACTCATGTTCAACAGTCTTTTCTTCTGTCATCCCAGTTTCCAAAACAACTGCTATAATCACTCATCTCTTAATCTGTAGTTTTTAAACTAGAGATTAATGATTGTTTCTTAGGTGGCATTCTTCCTATGAGATTACAGCGCACTCAAATGAGAGACTTCATAAACCCCAGCCAACACATGGTCAAAAACCCTCCAACAGTCACCTACTGCTACTGGTTTCTTTAGTGTCCCACTCAGGTCCCTTCCATATTTCACCTGGGCTTGACTCCACTTTCTTTCTTTTATAATTTTTGAGACGGAGTTTCGCTCTTGTTGCAAAGGCTGGAGTGCAATGGCGCGATCCCAGCTCACTGCAACCTCTGCCTCCCAGGTTCAAGTGATTCTATTGCCTCAGCCTCCCAAGCAGCTAGGATTACAGGCGCCCACCACCACACCTGACTAATTTTGTATTTTTAGTAGAGATTAGGTTTCACCATGTTGGTAAGTCTGGGTCTCAAATTTCTGACCTCAGGTGATCCACCTGCCTTGGCCTCCCAAATTGCTGGGATTACAGGCGTGAACCACCATGCCCGGCCAATCCCACTTACTTTCTAGCTCACTGATAAGCTGATTATTGTGTAACTTGACAGCCCGGTGCTGTTCCACCTGATCTTCCAATTCAAATATGGTTTCTTTCATGTCTTTGATCTCTGCATCACTCTCTGAAGCTTTTTCTTGCAGCTTTAGGCTGGTTCTACTCAGCTGTTCTGCTTGGTGATCACATATCTCCTTCAGGTGTGAATAATCCTTTTCCACCTGAAATAAAAGGAAGGTTCCTTGGTCAGTTTAACAACAACAAAATTCCCACAGTGACCTGTCCACTAGAAGCCCAAGCCCCAACATGATGCAATATACCCATGTAATAAACCTGCACATGAACCTATTCAACCTAAAATGAAACATTACAAAAAGCTCCCCACAAGTCAGCAGCAGACTCATGACCACAGTAGCAAAAACACTCTTGGCATGTGCGGTTTCTTGTATTACCTCAGAAACAGCCAAGGCTGTGAATAGTCAGAGAAACACAATGTATGCTCCCAATGGACTGGATCCTGTGACCCTTCCTACAAGCAGGAGAGAATCTGCACGCACTTAAACATTCCTCTTTCCACAGCTGGGGAGAGCAATGCTTCCCTGCGAAGAACTGGCCCTGCACCAAGAGAGTTGCCTGGTGCGGCGGCCCTCACCAAACATCTGCTGTGGAGCAGCGCCCTCTGCTGCTTAGCTGTGAACAACATCCCTGAAATTATGCTAATCTGCAAACCCCCAGGTCCCCTTACACATAAAGATACTTGTGGTTGCAATGCTTCTTTAGAGGAATCTCTAAAGATTCTTTATCACATTCATGCTCTATCACAGCAAAAATGTGATAGAGAACTCTGACAGAAGGCACACAGAAACGTGCATGCACCAGAAGCACAAAAGTGGCACAGCATAGTCGCTCCACCTGTTCAATTTTTAATTGTTAAACACTTTAAATACACAGAAAAGCACCAAAAATAATCATGCACCAAAACAGATTTAACGACAGTTAAATATTGCCACATTTGCAAAATCTTTTTACTTTAATTTCTTAAAGCCTCTACCTTCCCTTCCACCTCAGAGAGTAGTAGTATCCTAATTGATAATATGGTCATCCCTTGAACGGTTTTTCACTTTTACTATATACGTATGTGTCAATGATAATATGCAGTACTGCCGTTTTATACAATGTTATACTACATTGTGCTTTTGCATTGGATTATACTGTGTCTGTATTATATTGCATGCTCTTGCTTTTTAACTGTTTTCTTTTCTATTCTTTTTTTTTTTTTTGAGACGGAATCTCACTCCGTCGCCCAGGCTGGAGTGCAGTGATGCAATCTCAGCTCACTGCAATCTCCACCTCCCAGGTCCAAGGGATTCTCCAGCCTCAGCCTCCCAAGTATAGCTGGGATTACAGGTGTGTGCCACCACACCTAGCTAATTTTTTTGTAGAGACAGGGTTTCACCATGTTGGACAGTCTGGTCTCAAATTCCTGACGTCAGGTGATCCACCCGCCTCGGCCTCCCAAAGTTCTGGCATTACAGGTATGAGTCATAGTGCCGGTCCAACTGTGTTTTTAAATGTATCCATACTGGTACACATCAGGCTGGTCATTAATTGCTGCACAGTATTCCACTGTCTTAATATAGTATTTTATTATTACAAAAATGCTACAATAAACATCGTTGCCCCTTTTTTACAGTGCTTCAATTAACATTACTAAATAGCTGTATATTTACCATGTAATCTAAGTTTGATGCCTAATAGACTTCTTCCTAGACTTGGGGTGGGGGTGGGGTTTCTTTGTATGCAATATAATTTTTTTCCAATTACATTTTACTTGCAAAACCTTCTGGCTATAAGCTCTATGGCAACAGGGACTTCTCTGTTTAATTCACCATTGCATCCCCAGTATCTACAGAGCATCACACACAGGAGGCATTTAATGAATATTTGATGAATGAATGAACACTGGGAGGCAACATTACAGGGTCATTCACTGGGAAGTTGTGATAAAGGATAAGGAAGGGAGGGGAGACCTGGAAACAGAGCAAGATAGCTGAAAAGACTCCTTCAGCAATGCACCCTTCCTGCAGAAACACCAAATGGAATTGCTATCCACATAAGAAAGCATCTTCATAAGAACCAAAAATCAGGTAAACGATCACAGTGCCTGTTTTTAACATCCTATTAAGGAAAGAGGCACTGGAGAGGGGAGGAAAGTGGCACTGGAGAGGGGAGAAAAGAGGCACTGGAGAGGGGAGGAAAGAGTCTTGAGTCTCCATCATCCCCTTCCCTCATTCCTTGGCAGCAACCACATGGTACAGAGACAGCATCTGTGCACCCATGGGGAGGGAAAGAGCAATGATTGTGAGACTTTGTATTGGAATTTGGTGCTGTCCCATCATAGCAGAAAGCAACACAGGACAGAATTCAGGCAGCACCCATGGAAGAAGCATGTAGACCAGCCCTAGCTAGAGGGGAATCTTCCATCCCATTGAGAATCTGAGTTCTGGCAAGCCCCACCTCTGTGGGCTAAAGTATTTTGGAGTCCTAAGCAAGCATGAAAGATAGTCTAGGCCATGAGGGCTGCAATTCCTGGACAAGTCTTGGTGCTGTGCTGGGCTCAGAGCCAGTGGACTTGGGGTGTACATGACCCAGTGAGACACCAGCTGGAGCAGCCAAGGGAGTGCTTGTACCACTCTTCCCCCAACCCCAGGTAGCACAGCTCACAGCTGAGGGAGGAGAGGGAAGAGTAAAGAGGACTTTGTCTTGTAACTTGGATACCAGCTCAGCCACAGTAAAATAAAGCACCAGAGTCCTGAAGCCCCCATTCCAGGTCCTAGCTCCCAGATGACATTTCTGACATAGCCTGGACCAGAAGAGAAACCCACTGTCTTGAAGGGAAGGACCCAGTCCTGGCAGCATTAATCACCTGCTGACCAAAGAGGTTAAACATCAGTGGCGCCCACGCAGTAGTCGTCATGGGCCACATACTATACTGGCCTCAGGTGTGAGCCAGTGAGTTTCCAGCTGTGGTGGTCACAAGGAGAGATTCCTTCCACTTGAGGAAAGGAGAAGGAAGAGTGAAGGGGATGTCATCTCGCAACTTGGGCACCAGTTCAGCCATAGTAAAATAAAGCACCAAGCAGGCTCCTAAAGTCCCTGATTCTAGGCCTTAGTTCTTGCACAGCATTTCTAGACCCGCCCTGGACCTGAAGGGAGCCCACTGCCCTGAAGGGAGAGACTGAGACCTGCTGACTAAAGAGCACTTGGGCCCTGAATAAACATCACTGGTGCTGCCACAGGCCTGGGGTGATGTTGGCCACTGGGTTTGAGGAAAGGAGAGGGAATAGTAAAGAACTTTGTCTTCCAACTTGGGTACCAGCTCAGCCACAGTAAAATAAAGCACCAAGCAGACTCCTAAAGTTGTAGATTCCCAAAGTTGTGGACTCCAGGCCCTAGATTTCAGATAGCATTTCTAGACCCACTCTGGGCTAGAAGGGAGCCCAGCAGCCTGAAGGGAAAGACACAAGCCTCGCTGGATTCCTCATCTGAAGACTAAAGGGCCCTTAGGCCTTGAATAAACATCAGCAGTAGCCAGGCAATAGTCACCACCGGTTTTGACTGAGACCCAGTGCTGGGCTGGCTTCAGGTCTGACCCAGCACAGTCCCAGTAGTGGTAGCCACAGGGGTGTTTCACCTCTGTTCCAACTCTAGGCAGCTCAGCATGAAGAGAGAGACTGTGTATTTGAGGGAAAGTAAGGAAAAGGAGCAAGAAATTTTGCCTGCTAAACTGGGAAATTCTCCTCGATCTTATCCAGGTCCACCAAGGTGGTACCTCTGTAAGTCTGCAAGAATCACAGCATTACTGGGCTTGTGGTACCCCTTAATGCAGATACAGCTGCAGTGACCAAAGCCTTAGATCATTTCCTTTGAATGCCTGGAAAGTCTTCTCAAGAAAAACAAATACAAACAAGCCCAGACTGTGAAGATTGCATAAATCCCGGACTCTGCTATGCCCATCTATGAACATCCAGAAATTTATGACATACTGAAGAATGCATGAGTCTCAACAGCATAACTGCTCAAACGGAAGAATTAGTGAGCCAGAAGACAGGAGATTTGAAAATCTACAGAGGAGTAAAAATTTAAAAAGAATGAAACACACATATAAGATCTAGAAAACAGTCTAAAAAAGGGGCATATCTAAGAGTTATTGGCCTTAAAGAGGAGGTAGAGAGAGAGAGAGACTGGGGTAGAAAGCTTATTCAAAGGCATAATAACAGAGAACTTCCCAAACCTACAGAAAGATATTAATACTCAATTACAATAGGTTATAGAACACCAAGCAGATTTAGCCCAAATAAGACTATCTCAAGACATTTAATAAACAAATTCCCAAAGTTCAAAGATAATGAAAGGATCCTAGAAGCAGCAAGAAAAAAGGAACAACAAAGGAGCAGATTTCTCAGTGGAAACATTACAGGCCAGGGAGAGAGGCATGACATATTTAAAGTACTGAAGGAAAAAAGTGTCAAACATGACGGAGAAATAGAGTTTCCCAGACAAACAAAACCTGAGAAATTTCATCAACAGCCAACAAGAAATGCTAATGGGAGTTCTTCAATCTGAAAGAAAAGGACATTAACAAACAATAAGAAATCATGTGAGCATACAAAACCCACTGGTAACAGCAAATACAGAGACAAATAAAGAATATTTTAACACTGTAATTGTGGTGTGTCTACTACTCATATCTTAAACAGGAAGACTAAAACGTGAATCTATCAATAGAAACAAAACTGAAGAAATGAGATCATATCAAGTTAAAAAGGAAACAACCAACAAAGTGAAGAGACGGCCCACAGAGTGGGAGACAATACTTGTAAACTACCCATCTAATAAGGAATCAATAACCAGAATACATAAGGAGCTTAAACAATTCAATGGGGAAAAAATCTAATAATCTGATTAAAAAGTGGGCAAATTATATTAGACACTTCTTAAAAAGACATGGCAAACAGGAATATGAAAAGGTGCTGAAACGTCGCTCGTCATCAGAGAAATGCAAGTCAAAACTACAATGAGATACCATCTCACCCCAATTAAAATGACTTTTATTCAAAAGTCAGGCAACAACAAATGCTGGAAAAGATGTAGAGAAAAGTGGACCCTTGTACACTGTTGGTGGAAAGTAAATTAGTACAGCCACTATGAAAAACAGTAT